GATTTAGGATACATAGTGCAAGTTAAAGGGCTGCACAGACAAAAGTTAACGTTAAAAGTAAAGACCGTAAGGTGAGGGAGAGGAAAACTAGAACTGCTATGCTACTGACATAGAACTGAAGCATTAACACCACAAGAACTCCCACGCATCATGAGGGGAAAATGGCACAAAAGCAAGACAAAGGAAAAGACTCGATGCCATATAACTAATCTTGGTAGCCTCACTTTTGGGGTTTAAATCAAATACTGAATCAGATTCTTCAACTTTTCTCTTTTTAAAAATTCAACGAAATTACTTAAATCGTTTGATAAATGTAGTCATGCAATTTTAAATGACTATAAAAATTAGAGGATCAATGCCTAATCCTTTGGCAAAGACTGAAGGCGGCAGTAGTGCTAGAAACAGATAACCTTGCGTTTAAGCTCCTCACTACTGCTTAGAGACCATCGATTCTGCCTGCGAGGCCAATCCGAATTCCTCATCTTGGCATTCAAAGCCTTTAGTGACCTCGCCACAACTGTACCCAAAGAGCCCTAACTCCCGCTACTCCCTAACCTACCTCTCACTCTCAGAGCGCACCGGCCTCTGGACAGACCTGATCTCTGGGGGGGTGGGGGTGGCCATTTCCCCTTTCCCGCCTGGGTGGAAGTCTCCTTCCATCTAAGGCTCTGGCTGGCCCAGGCCTATCCAGCACTCCAGCCAACCGCGCTCTCGCTCCGCAGCCACACACTCCTCCCGGCCCTTTCCGGGTCTCTCCTCCCCGACTCTCTCGGTGTTGCCCCGGGGCCCCTCTCCCTCAGCTCCAGTGTTCCCCCGGGGACTCGCCCGCCTCCCCGGGCAGTCACAAGCTCTGCGGGTCGGTGGGCGTTTGTTAGGTGCTTCGAGCCTGGGCGAAACCCAGACCCAGACCCCTCGGGGCCCTCCCCCCAACTCTTTCGGGCGCTTTTACGACCCTCCCCCGGCTCCCCACGCCAGCCCAGCTGCCCCTCGGGGCTCCGGCCCCCAGACCTCCCCGCCGCCGCTGCCAGTCCTTCCTATCCTATCCGGCGGGGGTCGGCGGTGACTCACCGAAGGGCCAGCGGCTGGGGGGTCGGAATGCGCTCACTTCCTCCCCGCGCGCACCTGCCCGGAGCTGTTGGAGCGCCGCCCAGCCGAGCCTCCGGCGGATGTTTTTCTGTCCCCGCGTGGGCAGCGCTCGCCAGCCGCCCCCCCCCCGCCCCCGGGCCCGC